AGCCGACCCCACGTAAAGGGATAAAGATTTGTTGTTGTTGTTGTTCAGGAGTTAAAGACGTGGCAATAATTTGGTCGTTATGGCTCAGCAAGCATGACAGATAAAAGAGTATCGTTTTCTTTCTCTTATGATTTTGATTCGATGCAGTGGGTTGCTAACAAGATTCAAATTCAAATTCTTTTTCTTATTAGCTTTTCTTCTTAACCGTTGTACTTTGAACGTATTGTTAGCGGTGCGTTTTATTCAGATGTTTCATAGACATTGGTCTTTCATGCGTGCAGGGATCTTACAATCTTAAGATGACAATCTAGGATGAACAGAACTAGAAGTTGTCTTGCATCAGTTTTAACTTCAAAATTGTGTTGCAATCTCTGGTGTCTATGATTTGAGATTTGCCATGTCCGGGTCCTTGTTTTTTGAGATTTGCCATGTCGCCGTATCGCTTTATTTGTGTCTATGCAACATGGTCTGCCAGTTGAGCACCCAATGCCTAGTGCTTAGGTTTATGCATTGTTCTTGATTGGTATGTACCATAAAACCAAATGTGTATATAAAGCGTCTTGGTGTTTTGCCACCTGTAAGGATCAAGTTGAATTCCATCAGTACTGCATGTGTTTTTGCAGAAAATCAAATTCAATTGAGAACATTTTAACCGTATGATTCACATAAAAGAAACACAAGATGATCGACGAAACAATAATCAATGAACAAAGCTACTAGCGGTCTCATGTCATTCATCTTTGACACTAACGTGCAGTTTGGGATTGAGGTAATTAAAAAAAAAGCTGGGATGAAAAAAAGTTGGTAGGGGTTTTGATGTTTGGTAAACATCCCAAAACAGCTTTATTTTAAAATTTCATTTGAAAAAAAAGCCAAAAAGTGGAAGCTGCATTTTGCAACTTCAAGAAGCCACTTATTATCCAAAACACGGAGCTACAGTACCAAGTTAATGAATTTTTTCAATTTGCCAATACTGCCCCCTCCTTTCTTCTTTCTCTTTCTCCTGATTCCTACACTCTCCATACTCTCTCTCTCTCCCAAAACACGTCGCTGCACCTCTTCGTCCTCCTCATTTTCCTTTCTCTCCGTCGGTCTCAGCACCACACCGCCACACCGCCGTCGCCTTCCAGGTACCAGGTACCAGGTACTCGATTTGCTTTCAATTTGTGCTGTAATTAATTAATTTAATTTTCAGGTTAGGGTTTGGCTGCTCTCTGATATGAACCCATTTTTTGGGCTGAAACAGGGTTTTGTGTGGCAACCAACGAACGAGCTTGATCTCATTGATTAGGTAAACATAACTTTTTCTCTCTCCCTTTCCATCTCTCTCTCTCTCTCTCTCTCTCTCTCTCATCCATCGTTGTGGGAATTTCAGTTTTGGTGTTTGAATTAATGTTCTAATTTTCAGTTTTGGGATTTGAATTAATTCTCTAAATTTCAGTTTTGGGGTTTGAATTGAAGTTATTATCATGAGATCCATGAAGCAATTTCAATTCTTAGGGTTTGATTGGCAACGATGGTGTTGCTCTGTTTGTTATCATGAGATCCATGAACCCAAATCTCCTCCTCTTTTTCTGCCCTTTTTTATTTCTTATCATTTTGTCTTACTTTTCTACTCTTGATTAAGGTAGACGACGAAGAGACAAGTCGGAGTTGTCAGTGGATTCTCTTCGCTGCCATCGCGTTCATTTTTTCTGGGTATTTTTTCGTTCTGGCTGTGATTTTTTTTTTGGCCAACTTTTTGCTTGATTTATTGACGAAAAATTGGTTAAGTTTGGATTATGTTGATGTGGTTAACATTTCTTTGTTTGACAAGGGTTTCTAATTTCTCAGATATATGGGTTTATATTGGAAAGATTTGTCATTTAATCTTAACCTATGTTTAGTTCTTGATTTCTGAAACAATGTTGTGCAGTATTTGAAGTAATTTTTCATATTTTGTAACATCCTACATCACGTCCAGGGAGTGATCTTTAAAGGTATATTCTCATCCCTACCTAGCACGAGGCCTTTTGGGAGCTCACTGGCTTTGGGTTCTGTAGGAACTCCGAAATTAAGCGAGAAGGAGGCCAGAGCACTCCCAGGATGGGTGACCCATTGGGAAGTTGCTCGTGAGTTTCCAAAAACAAAACCGTGAGAGAATGGTAAGCCCAAAGCGGATAATATCGTGCTACGGTGGTGGAACAATCCCGGGATGTGGTGGACCCGGGCCGAGATGTGACAAATAGTATCAGAGCTAATCTCTGGGTAGAAGTGTGCCGACGAGGACGTCGGGCCCCTAAGGAGGTGGATTGTAACATCCCACATCGCCCAGGGAAGTGATTCTTAAATGTATATTCTCATCCCTACCTAGCACGAGGTCTTTTAGGAGCTCACTGCTTTGGATTGTAGGAACTCCGAAGTTAAGCGAGAAGGAGGCCAGAGCACTCCCAGAATAGGTGATCCACTAGGAAGTTGCTCGTGAGTTCCCAAAAACAAAACTGTGAGGGAATGGTAAGCCCAAAGCGGACAATATCGTGCTACGGTGGTGGAACAGTCCCGGGATGTGGTGGACCTGGACCGGGATGTGACAAATGGTATCAAAGCCAATCGCTGGCCGAAAGTGTGTCGACAAAGACGTCGGGCCCCTAAGAAGGGTGGATTGTAACATCCTACATCGCCCAGTGGAGTGATCCTTAAATGTATATTTCCATCCCTACCTAGCACGAAGCCTTTTGGGAGCTCACTGGTTTCGGGTTTTGTAGGAACTCCGAAGTTAAGCGAAAAAAAGGCCAGAGCACTCCCAAGATGGGTGACCCACTGGGAAGTTGCTTGTGAGTTCCCAAAAACAAAATCGTGAGGGAATGGTAAGCCCAAAGCGGACAATATCGTGCTACAGTGGTGGAACGGGCTCAGGATGTGATGGATTCGAGCCGGAATGTGACATATTTGATCTTTAACTGGTGGCCAATTGTTAGCATAGGATGTAACTGTACAAGTAATCATCTGCATGCATTAATAATATGTTTGTGTGTGTAGTCACTTTTTACAGGATAGAGCCTTTTAAAAGAGCCTTTCATAGAGAAAGAGCCTTCTCTGTCTCTTTATCCTATTTTATTGTTGCCAAAGGCCTTCACAAAGAAAAGATAATTAGTCAAGCTTATTTATGTAATCATGGGTTATCAACTTATCATAAGAAGCACATATATACACGCAGAGTTGCAGACACGCACATTAGAGACCTAAGGGCAACAATTATAAACATCAAATATACCAGGAACTTTTGATTCAATTTTAAGAGCATCTACAATGGGCTCCCTAAATGAGCTCCTAGTTAAAATTTAGGGAGGATATGGAAAAAATCACCCCGTCACTCCCTATCCACCTCCTAAAATAAGGATTCTACAACGAGCTCCTAAATCTAGGGAGGTAGAAAAGAGCTCCTAAGGCTCCTAGCATTTTGATTGTTATGTGAATTGTTGTTGGATTTTGTAGTTGTATGTGGATCATTTATTAGTTATTTCTTTGAATTGTTGTTGATTGTTTGAATTGATGTTGATTGTTTTGTGAATTGCTGTTGATTATTTGATTGTTTTGTGAATTGTTGTTGGATTTTGTAGTTGTATGCTGAACGTGATCGTCATTTTGATGACCCCAAGGACTTTTGTGAAGAGATCGATAGTAGTGATGATGATGATGATGATGAAAAATATCAAAATTATCAAGTTGAAGGATCACATGAGATAGAGGCATTAAGAAATAGAATAGCGGCAAGTTTGATAAATGCATCTAATTAGACTACCTTCAAGTACATTAACAATATTGTACTAATGAATCCTAGCTATTCAATCTAAAATATTTCAAATGAAGTAGTTTGTCATACTAATTAATATTTAAGATAAAGTTTATAAATATTTTTCTTTTAAAAATAAAGTATATTTAGTAATTGTTAAGAAAATTAAATTAATAGCACATATAATATTATACCCTTTTTGGTCATTTTACACAGTCATAACTGTTTTACATAAAAGTTTACCAAACACTATCATACTACTTTTTTTTCCAAAAGCACTTTTACAAAAAAAGTTTACCAAACACTCTGCTGCTTTATTTCACAGCGTTTTTTTTTCACAGCACAGCATAACAGCTTTTTTTTCAAAGTACAGTAATACCAAACCAGCCCTAAATTATATTGGTCATTGTATACTTTTGCTCAAATTCCTCTACTCCAAGATCAATCTTTTTTTTTTTAAGGAAAACTAATGAAAAGGGCTTGAAAACTTTGAGTTTTAATGATAAGGACAAAATAAATGGTAAAGTGAATAGTACCATGATTGACTTTTTAGTGTAAAAATGTGGTTTTTCGTTAAAGTGAATAGTACCAGGTGCTTTTCGTTAAAGTTCTTTTTTTTTTATTCAACGATATTTTTACACTATTAGGGTGGGGGAATAAATAGGTTGCTAACTCGCTATTCATGACATTTTTATCGAACGTAAAACTTCTCACTTATAAATGAACGATGAATATTCCTAGACTGGAGAACCAAGTGGCCCCAAAATCTATCTTTACTCATAAGTGAAATATTATATGTTCGATTCTCAATCAAATAATGATACCAAATTATAATTAGTTTAGGGAATTGTTATTAACACTTTAAAAATCTCATTCTATACTCCAAACTTTCTATATTTAGAAAGAAAAATGCACTTGTGAGAAGTGTAGAATGAGATTTTTGGAATACTAATAATACTTCCCTTAATTTATTGTGCAACTTAACTCAAATCTATGCACCCCAAAATTGTTGTTTTAGAAAGAATGGAAAAATAATATGGAAGTAGAAAGCCGAAGCCACTAAACCGGATCTGATACAAACCGTTGTCGCCCTCCTCTTCGGATCCTCTTTGTGAGAATTTCAAGAATCACTTCATCATACATCATGCGATCAATTTTTATCAGATACAGTTTATGTTTAATTATAAATAAAAAAAAATCAAAATATTTTCTGACTATAGAGTGACAAATGAATGAATCCCGATCTTCGCAAAGAGGATCCGGATAGATCCTATTCCATGATTTTGGGCCACAACAACCCAGTAGGGCCAGTACTCCTACTACTAGCTGTGGCAGTGGCAGCGGAAGGAGATACAGAACAAATCAATAAACAAAAATCAAAACCTTGGTAAGCAAAATCTTTGGTTTTTCTCTCGATCAATATTATTCTTATATGATATGGTGCACTGTTTTCTTTTTTGTTTCCCGATGTTTTGATTGTCGGCCGTTCGATTCAGCTTATGGTTGTGTGTACGACTTGATGTTGCGCGCCATGTGTTTGATGAAATGGCTGAATGAAGTAGACTGCCATAACTGATCTGAATTCGCACTCTATTTGTTTGGTGCAGTTTTGAAATTTGAGAGGTGAGATGATGAGAAGGCAGGGGCAGGGGCAGGGACAGGGACAGGGACAGTATGGTGATTCGGGTGCGAATGCGTATGCGGCCGGTGCTCCGATCCATCATATGTCCGGTCAAAGGATGGAGCACACGTCTAGTGATTTCGAAGGAAGGATGGAAGCTTTCACTCCACCTCCAGAGACGGACAATCCATATGCAACTTCCAAATCAGACGGCCAATGGGGATGGGAAAGAGATGGATCAAAAGGGTCAAATCCACTCACATCTCATATGTACAATGAAGGTAAGTACTCTCTCTCTCTCTCTCTCTCTCTCTCTCTCTCTCTCTCATATACATATACGCTGGGTTTGTTGTGACTTGAATTGCTAATTCAAATGTCGAAATCTTGTTACGTTTTTGTGTTGGTTAATGGGTATAAGTCAAAATATAATCTAGATTTTAAATTAACAACCATATATTTTGTTGTTTGAAGTTCATTTTATGCTCCCGGAATGTAGTTCACAAGGGTTTCGATTTTTCCAGACCTCCATAAAAGAGGTTGGTTGTATGCATTTTGTTTTATTTGCTAACTGCAAAACTTGATGACTTTGGCTAGACCTCTCACTCTACTCACGAATTTGATGGAGCAATACCTGTAAACTATGCTGTGATGCTCAAGGTAGGAATGGAGAAGCACCTTTCTTTTTACAAGAATTCAGTTATTCCTGTCTCTTGATGCTTGTCCCCTATTTTCTTGTTGAACTTGGTTCCTAATAAGAGATAGTTATAGACTTTCCTTTACAGGATATCTCTGGTCCTCAAGGCGGATTGCTCTGAAGAAACTCTTTTTCCTAATTTGCATCCGTTACGAAAATTAGCATATAATCTTACTGATACTGCTACATCATTGTGCCTATTTCTGGGTGCCGTGCTGTTAAAAAGTGTCCACATCTATCTTTAGATTGGCCCCTATACCCAAACACCTCATGACAGTTCTACTTTGAGGACTCTTCTTACGGTGAGACATGAGTTCTCATTTCTTAGTGACAATTGATTATTCAAGCATCCCAATGAATTGAGAACGTAGCCACCTTTCTCCCTCTGCCGCCTTCATCATGAATACGGAAGTAAGGATCTTCGTTTGCCTCGTTTTCCTGACTGTACTAAGATATCATGGACAGCTCAAGCAGCTTTGTAAAGCTAGGGACAGTTTGTGGAGGCATATGCCTAAACTAGAAAGGGTTGGTCCTGACAGAGTGAATTGGAACACGTGATAATAGTGAGTGTCGTCTTCTCCTAATAATTCCATTTTATTCTGGGAAAGTGATAATAGGCTGCATGGAATTGAGTTTCCCATTGAACATCTTGGAGTTAGGGGTTGAAAACTTATGTTGTGAGAGGGTGATTAGTTGATCCTATAGCCATCCTGCAATGTCAGTTATGGTAAAGTTTGGCCTTTATATCCTCTCAAATGTTAACCCATCCCTTTCACCATTCATTCTGAACGGTCCCTGGAGGCTCTTTCATCACTCCGTATCTATCCTGGACACATGGACAAAGAGATCCTGGTCACTGGTTGCTCTTTGTCCTAGTCATCTGGGCTTACGGGCTCTTTTGCTTCTCCAATCTGTCCTGAAGCAACTTGTTCTCCCAGAATGCTCCTGGGTTAGAGCTCATTTCTTTCGGCTAAACGCTTTTTCCGATGGGCCTCAATAGCTAATATAGCTACATCAGTTGGCCTATTTTTGGTGTTTGTGCCAGCAGCAGCTCTGCTGCTCGTTCAACTTTCCTTAGACCTCTTTTTTTACAATCCTTCATGTACTCCGTCCTAGACTTTAGCAAGATTCAAACTTAGTTTTATTCTATATAATTCCTGGGTTGCATGATTTGTCCTTTAAGCTCTCTGGTGTTGTCTTTAGCTAACTCTTCAACTATATGTTTAATCAACTAATTTGACCATAAAGTTTAATTTGTGGTAGTGCACATAAGAGATAAATGTTGCCATGTTAGAAACATAAATAGTACATATGTACCTCAGTTTAGGAAAATAATGAAATGGATCCTGATGTTCGGGGAGAGGGTTTGGGATTGATGATATGGTTTTTATTAGTAAAAATTAATACACGTTAGTAAATACTGAGGAAGAATTATGGTTGAGACACATAATTCCAGGAAATTTTGTAACTCAACAATGGTAAAACAATGGTTGATTTACTCATCTTTTGGCTCTGCGTCATATTTTAGATGTCACATTCCTATCATTTTACGGTCAATTGCAAATGTTATAATATAGAAACTCCCACCTGAAGGCAGCTGGATTAGGTGCTCAGATGAGGGCCTCTAGGTGATGATATGCCTTATACTTTCCTGGTTGAATGCTTAGTTCACATGCTTGGCTTGCAGGTCAAGGAGGTGATACATCAAGATCCTATTTCCAAGGTCAAAGGACTGATTCAAAACATACTTTGGAGAAACAGAGCAACAACGATTCCCGATCTCAACCTCTTAACGAGGAGATGGACCTTGTATATGAGGACAAGCCTTCGTCGCAGACTTTTGAAGATCTTGAGAAGAAGTTCCTTGATGACATTAGAAATCTAGCCAAGGAACAAAGTGATGCTGAGGATGCGGAAAATGCTAGGCATAGAGAGGTTAGTTTATATTTAATATCTGGAAGTGAATTTTCTTTTATATTTATGCCTTGGATTCCCGATTTGCTTTATTTGGGTTTTTGTGGTATATTTCCCAACCCCCTTTTTTTCTCTGAAAACAAACATATTTTTAATTTATCAGGAAAAGTAAAAGTGCATGTTCTATTAGTTAGCCTCGTCTTAGTATGCTTACCTTATGAACTCATCTTTAAACACAACTTGAACATTCACCTAGTCATTCCTTGGAAAGATATTTTTTATCTATTCAAAATCTATTTCAGGAGTCATAAAACATAAAAAGAAACTGATGTTTCAATTGCCATAATATGCCCCAAACACAAGCAAGCGATCATGGGCATGACTAACCCAAGCAAAGCTAGGGTTGTGCATTGCAAGTGTGGCCCCCCATGAAGCACCGATTCGTAACCAGGGTGACGAATCCGTACGGGGATGTTTTCGATTGTCCACTGATTCGCATTGATTCGCAAATCACTGAAACAACTACTTAAGTGCTTTGGATTTGAATTTTTTTGGATTTGAATCATTCAGTTGGTCAAGATGATATATTTTAATTTTTTTTATTTTTATTTTTATAATTAACTTATCCATGCGGTCCTCTATTGAAATTTTGTGTTTTCACGAATCACCAAATTGAATAGTTTTGGGATTCTACATGTGTAGCTTTGTTGTTATCAGGTTAGGAAATAATGTTGCTTAAGTAACAGATTGAGCCATAGTAGATAGTAATTTTCAGTGCTCGATCCTGTAACAATCACTAGCTGGAACCTTGATATCTGTAAGGGTTATCTTTTGCTTCAAAGCTTATTTTCACTGTTTTAGAACAGGTATCTTTTTTCTTCAAGTCCTAGAGATAGAACTGCCAGTTAACTCCCCCCCCTTCCAAATCCATTTAAAACTGAGTACAGTAACAAATGCTTTTTATGGGATCTGTTACTGATTCTATGTAAGTTGAATTAATTGGTCCAAATGGAAGGAGAAACAAGGAAATTCAGAACTTCATATACATACATTTGTACGCCGATTATAGATTGCTGAACTATTGCTGTTAAATTCTTCCGGGGCAGTAAAAGTAGCAAAATCTGAATGTCTTTTTACTATTTGGAATGTGAGAGGAAACCTTTATGACACATCATTGCGAAACTAGCACATATACAGTTTTCCTTGATGGGTCTGGATATGTGTGCTTGAGACTTCTTCGGACGTAGATTTGTGCAGAAGTTCTTCATGGATGGTATTACTCTCCTTTTCATGTTTAGTAATCCTCCTGTCCTTTTTTTCCAAATAGAGAAAACTCAAAAGCCATCATTTGAGCCCCAAACTCAGGGTTTAGATATATTTGAACATGGTTAGGTATTCTCCGATGCATTACGAATCAAACTTATGCATTGTGAAAGTATATTTTCCATCTACTCACCAGATGTATTTCGGATTATAGTTAGTTTTCTCAAGTCACTAAAACTGGACATGGCTGTAGCCACCATCTTCCGAAACCATAGAACTGTTCTTATTAGAGAGGTTGCAAAGTGTGTATAACATGTACTTCTGGCAATGACATTTCTTTTCCTTGGATAGAATACGACCTAAAAGGTTTCAATGTTTTGCGTATTCTTTCCTTTTTCTCACATCCCATCTTTAACTGAGGACGAGGATTTATTTCATGCTTTCATTCCATGTAGATAGATAATAGATGTTCATATGTCTTTGTTATTTATATCTTACACGTAAGTGCATCATGTATGGGTTCTCAGAAAATTGGCGCTGTCAATGCTCAATACCAAGAACAGCTAGCAGCACTTCGGTCACGGCATGCTAAACTCAGAGATGAATTACTTGACAGGGAATCAAATGCCCGACGGCATCAATACCAGCAATCCGTGTTGGATCATTACCCGAACAGCAGCATGGTCCCCTCTGATGATCATGGGTACAGTGGACCTGCAGCCTCGGCTCCTGTTGGCGAAGCACGCCGAGGCTATAATACTGATCAATATGATTCATACAATGAGCGAGCTCGATTTCTTGGAGGTTCTCGGGATCATGGGTTTGAGCCTAGAGGTCCATATCCCGGAGGCCGTGTCTATGATACCGGGTCACGGTACTACTGATTCAGCGTGTATTTGGTCAGGCAGCTTAATATACTAGTAAGATATTAACTGTGATGATGTTTTAACTAATTTTGCAGTGTTATTTTGGTATGATGTTTTCCAGATGTTGCTATTTGATGTCCGGCAAATAGATTCAAGACTAACCAATCATCCCCTCTCAATGGCCCAAACGTATTGAGAAGAACATATCCTTTTTGTTTGTTTTTTTGGTGTGGGATCTTCGGTTTTTTCTTTCATGGGGAGGCACGTAGTTTTGTAATTTTATAGTTGGGAGATTTTCGTATTGTTTTTTTTTTTTATGGCTACAATACTTATACATATACAGGCCCTTTAAGGGAAGGGATTTCCTGTTTTTGAAAAAATAGGGATGGGATCTAGACAATTCAAATCGTCTGTTTTGTAAGTCTCGATTTATAGATCGTCTTTGCAAAAATTAAATTCAATCTGAAACCATTTGCCTATTTAATTATTATGATAAAATTTCAATGTTTCTTAGAGAACAAAATGTTCGTTAATTTCTTTGAATTCATTTAGATGCCTAAGATATTATCGATTTGGCTAATATTTTATAAGGATGATTTATGAGGTGCAACTTGAAAAAATAGACGGTTCGAATCATTGAAGTTCAATTTGGTGTGTGTCCCACAACTAATCTCTATTTTTATAAAAATATGAGGATATCTTCCCTTAAAGGCTTCCAATGCATATATATCTAATCCAATTACCGTTTCAACGGTCATATAGTGATTCTATTAAATATGTTCACATGAATTATATTTGATTGTCAAATGATGATTATTCTAAATAAATGTAAATATTGTAGCCAATCTAATATTTTAATTTATTCTTTCTTTTTCTTTTGGTTAAGAAAAAGAGTGGTGCTACAGACACCAAATTTGTGTGATGTTGTAGACATCGAAATTTCGGTAAATAAATGTTGACCGATAAATCAAAGTTTCAGCACTCATGTATTACATAAATTTTACACGTAGCGTGTGTCTAAACAAAAAATCGAGAATCATCGGAAAAGTCATCAAACAGGACGTGTCAACACCTGGCAGAAACGACTTATTTCATCTGGAATATTATATTCAAAATTAGGCCTTGGAAAATTCTATAAATAGAAGCCAATTTCATTCATTTGGGGGAGGAATTTCATATTAGGCAAAAAAAACCTTGAAGCTCTGAAACTCTAAAACTCCGAAGCTCTCAAGCATCCAGGTTCCCGAAGAATCAAGAAAGCGTTCTGCGTTCTTCGTTCTTCGTTCATCGTTCTTCCAAGATCAAGCCCCGACGGCCCTTGGATTAACAATCACCAATTCAAGATCAAGCCCCGACGACCCTTGAAGAAAGTGCTCTTCGTTCTTCGTTCATTGTTCTTCCAAGATCAAGCCCCGACGACCCTTGGATTAACAATCACCAATTCAAGATCAAGCCCCGACGGCCCTTGGATCAACAATCACCAACTCAAGATCAAGCCCCGACGGCCCTTGGATCAACAACATCAACAAATCCACACATCCAACCGTTCTTCAAGATCAAGCCCAAAAGCCCTTGAAGATCCGTTCATCACCGTTATTCAAGATCAAGCCTTAACGGCCCTTGAAGAAACACTCATCCTCAAGATCAAGCCCCAACGGCTGCTTGAAGATCCGCTCAAATACACCTTCAAAGATCAAGCCCACGGCCCCTTGAAGAAACTTCCAATAGTTCATCCAAGATCAAGCCTCGACGGCACTTGGATCAACAAAACATCCATAAATCAACACCTTACGGAGATCGAATCAGAAGATCAAAATAGAGAGAGATTGTAACCCAAAATCATCAAATACAAATATTATTTTTGTGCACGTTGTTCTTGTCTCTTTCGTTTCAGGAAATTTTCGTGTTCACAAATTTGGCACGCCCAGTGGGACAATCTTTACCTCTCATCTCTTTCCCCGTTCAAAAAAAAATTTAAGCACACTTCCAAAAGTAATGGCATCAAGGAAGGCTCAAACTGTTCCCGCAACCGACGCAAAGAACAAGAGCGTTCTCGTCACAAGTGGTGTCACTTTGGGCATCACGACTCGAAGTAAGACAAGAGCTTCTTTTGCCGCCTCCTTCACCTCTGCATCCACTCTGCCAAGGGAACAAGAGCACCCAAGGTACGAGCCTGTAATCACCTTAGCCTCACTAAGGGCACCAGGGGAAGAGAGCCCAAGGAAGTACTCCGAATCCATGCTCTCTGATGCCGACTCAAGCGGCAGTTGAACCATGCAAGTTATGACCACTGGAGCAACTTCAATCAATGAGCAGTTGGCTCAGATGAATGAAGTAATCGCAAGGCTAACCCGAACTGTGGAAGAAAAAGACTTGCAAATTGCAGCACTCGTCAACCGACTAGAGGTGCAGGACGGTGAGAAACCCAACCCGAAGATTGATCCTCTAAAGAAGGAAGACGATGAAGAAGATGAGCCTATAGTGGAGAAAGCTGAAGAAAAGCTGAAGCTCGACCCAACAACAACGCTCATGTGATCTCTCTCCATCAAGCAGTTGCAGGAGATGATCGCCAGCACCGTCAAGGCACAGTACGAAGGGAGCTCACATGCCTCCATGTTGTACTCGAAGCCTTACTCTAGGAAGATCGACGCCTTAAAGATGCCGAATGGCTATCAACCGCCGAAGTTTATGCAATTTGACGGAAAGGGAAACCCGAAGCAACATGTCGCACATTTCGTCGAAACCTGCAACAATGCAGGGACAGAGGGAGATTACCTCGTCAAGCAGTTTGTGCGCTCGTTAAAAGGAAACGCCTTTGAGTGGTACACGGACCTGGAGCCCGAGTCCATCAACAGCTGGGAACAGTTGGAAAGGGAATTCCTCAACAGCTTCTACAGTACCCGCCGCACTGTGAGCATGCTAGAGCTGACGAGCACGAAGCAATGGAGGGAGGAACCAGTCATGGACTACATCAACCGATGGCGTAATCTAAGCCTCGATTGTAAGGACAAGCTCTCCGAGATTTCTTCAATTGAGATGTGCATCCAGGGCATGTAATGGGGTTTACAATACATCCTTCAAGGTATCAAACCACGGACTTTTGAAGAATTAGCCACCCGTGCCCACGACATGGAACTGAGCATCGCCCACCATGGAAAGAATGAGCCAATCACCGATTTCAAAAGGGATAAGGTGTTTACTTCAAAAGCAGACAATCATGGAAAAAAGCCCGCCAATGAAGCTTTTACCACCAATACAACCCCTATCAAAACCTCATTCGCACCCGTCAAAATCTCCTTCAATAACAAAGCAAATGAGATAAAAAGAAGTGAGCCTTCCCACACCCAAGATAGGTACAAAAACACTTTGAGGGAACTGAAGCAGAAGGTATACCCTTTTCCAGACTCCGACATGGATGCAATGCTGGACGACTTGCTGGAGAATAAGGTGATTGAGTTGCCTGAATGCAAACGCCCTGAAGAGATGAATCGTACCAATGATCCCAAGTACTGCAAGTACCATCGTATCGTGGGTCATCATGTGGGCAAATGTTTCATCCTAAAAGAACTCATCATGAAGTTGGCACAGCAAGGGCGGATTGAGCTCGACCTAGAAGACACAGCCGCAACGCATACCACTACGATCGTGTTCGGATCCTTTGATCCCGTGCCTCTTCAAGAAATACCCGACCATTCCTATCAATGCACAAGCTACACGGCACCTTCTGCACAACCATCATTGGATACAAACGACCAGGATGCACCTATCGATGATGAAGAAGGGTGGACATTGGTGACCTATAAGAAGACGAGGAAGCCAAGACCACAGGCTATAAAGCCAAAGGGGGAGCAAGCGAGAAAGCATCGCCGCCGCAACAATAGGAAGCCTAAAAGAAGCATAAGAGCTGCTAAGTCAACATATGCTGGGGAACCTATGGAGCAAGAGCCACGTATTCCCGTCTCCTTGCACGAATACTTCCCGGAGGACTTCTTCCAACAGTGCACTATCACTGCATGTCACATGGTCGAAGTAGAAATGGAAGAACCCTCAAAAGGCAAAGCTGTCACCACTGAGGGGGAAAAGACTTCTACGACTGAAGAAGGTCTGCCAACACACTTTAGCATCGAGGGAGCGCTCCGGTTGCCAAAAAAGATGCGAAAAGCACTAGCAGCAGTCTTGGCAAGTTCCGATGACCATGAAGTGCAAGAAAGCAAGAACGAAAGCTTGAAGCTTCGACCACATGAATGTGCCACATGCTGTGCCGCCGATGACGCAATCCACTTCACCGACGAAGACTTGCTGCTAGGATCCAAGCCTCACAACCGACCTTTCTTCATCTCTGGTTACGTAAGGGAGCACAAAGTTAGCCGCATGCTTGTGGATGGCGGATCAGCCATAAATATGATGCCAAAGTCAACGATGACCACAATCGGCATCAAGGTGGATGAACTATCCCTAAGCCGTCTACTAATCCAAGGTTTTAACCAAGGAGGACAAAGAGCGATGGGCATGATCCGAGCAGAGATGACCATTGGTGAACTCAAGTCAAGCACAATATTCCACGTGATTAATGCAAGAACTTCCTACAGTTTGCTCTTAGGAAGGCCTTGGATCCATGCGAATGGAGTAGTACCGTCCACCCTTCACCAATGCTTAAAATTTTACCGAGAATGAGTAAAGGTGATCTATGGCGACACTAAGCCATTCACCGAAGCCGAATCACATTTCGCAGACACCAAGTTCTACATGGATGAAGACATGGTGCCCGAAACTCTTCCAAAAGAGATCAAATCCATGGGCAAAGCAACACCTAAAAAACAGGAGTGGCAAGCCGTGCCCAAAAAGCAAGAAGAAGAAGCTATGCCATCTTCAAGCAAAAACGACGATGAGCTTGCTAAACCTGCAACAACCAGAGGGAATAGGACGCCCTCAAATGAACCAAACATACCCATTTTCCGATACATCCCAACGTCGAGAAGAAAGAATGGTCAATCCCCGTTTGAAACTGCAGCAAGCAAAGCCGATGCACAGCGGCACATAGATAATGTAAAGTTGCTCAAAACAAATGCAGTTTTGCCTCTGACACAGCTAAGCGACATTAAGGTTGCAAGGCTATCACAAGGCTTTATAAAAGGCCTGCCAAAGGGGGTAGAACCAAGCTTTCTCCCAACCAAGAGGACCGAAGAAGGTTTTGATCCAAACGCCTACAAACTCATGTCGAAAGCTGGGTACAACTTCACCTCCTCTGCAAATTTGGGAAAGAAGAATTTGAACACCATCAAAGACAACGAACGTGATCTTACTAAAACTCAGAAGAAGTTGGAGGAGCATGGTTACGGGGTCAACAACAACAAAGCTGGACTTGGCTTCACACCAAATGCACCGGTGAAGATCTCCAGCAAGGCAAAAAATGCTAGCGCTTAACACATCAGTGTGAGCATTATACAAGATAAAGAGGAGCCTCGAACTGCCCCTCAGACGTCAGTAT